ACTTTTTTCTAGTGACACTGGTGACACTAATCAAGAAAGAAATAAAATAGCCTAATAATCTTAAGAAAGATAACAAATCCGTCACTAGTTCTGTTACTAGTTCTGTATACTAATTGGTAACACTAGTGACACTCAAAAAATTAGCATACTCATTGCCTTGATCTAGATTAAACCATGATCAGACCTTAGAAGTGCTTACAACTTCCTGCTAATATCTCTTGAAAGTAATGAGAAAGTTACGAGAAAGTGATAAGAAAGTACTTGAAACTGATGAGAAACTAAATCACATGATTAACGCAATAAGATGCAGTAAAATTTCATTTAATTTTGACCAGCACTATTCTATAATTCTAGTTAGAACTTTAGTATAATATTTGGCATCCAAGCTGGCTTAAAATTGGCGAACTAATAGAAATACTTTGATTTCTTGCCAGTTTTATAACAGTTCTAGAAGAGTTCCAAGCATTGCCAGAATGTTACTATAGTGCTAACTTAGATCTTTCAAATTATGTGCCCTAAATATTGACCGGAATTATGGCATAGTATCAGCTGAAATTAAATTTACTGCGCCACCTGACATATTTTTTTATCACAATTTGGCATTTTAATAGGTAATCAAACAGATGCAAAGGGTAAGTATCTCAATATAGAATCTAAGTAAAATAGAATTACAATTGCAATTTGTAATATGAGGCCTTTGCAATAGAAAGGAAAGAAACTCAAAAAAAAATAAAAAATGAGTTAATAATAAATCTGAACAAATTATAGTATTTAGAACATTTTTGGCTTATAAACTAAAATTTTAATTTTTTTAGAGTTTCTTCCCTTTCTATTGCAAAGACCCCATATTTGATAATTTTGATTAAATAGAATTACTCATTATATGCAAAATAGAATTACTTATTTGAAAATATTTCAAATTTTTAACATATATCAATATAATTTTATATAAATTTATAAAGTATTTTTTTAATTGTTAGAATATTAAATTTAACAATTTTTCAAAATTTCAATTTATCAAAAATATCAAACACAATAAAAAATATTGGTTTATATTTGAAAAATCAAAGTTACTTTTTTGGAAAGAAATTTTAGAAAATATTAAAGAAGAATTTAATTTAGATATTATGGTAATATAATGTTAAATAAAATTTAAAGGGATGGTAAAAATTGTAAAGTAAGTAAAATTTTAATTAAAAAAATATACAATATAATTGTATAAAATAAAAATTATAAATAATCAATATTTTTAATTATTCTTTATGCAAAAAGAAATTTAAAAGGAAAATAAAGTAAAGTTAGTAAGAAATATAGAGAATAATTTTAAACTTTTTTTTAAAAAAAATCTGATAAGTATTTAAAAATATATTCTGTTTGATATTTATATTAAAATTTAGTTAAATTTAAACTTTTATTTTTAGTTTCTTGAGTAGAAAAAAGAAGGTGATTTTAATTAGAATACCATAAGTTTTATTATTTAAACTTATAATATTTTTAAACTAAATTTTAATATTTACTTTATTAGAAAATTTAAATACTTTTCATTCTTTACAAAAATATATGATAAAAACTGTATTTATCTTTAATTCTTTTTCTTTATAAAGATTTGTTTTACTACAAAAATTTGTTTTACTACCTTTATTATTTAATATCAAATTATCATTTAAAATAAAATTTTAACTGTTACTTTCTTTAACTATTATCATTCTATTTTCTTTTTCATTTTCTCTTTTAATTTTTTATTCAGATTTTTTATAGTTTTTTTTTCAATTTTTACTAAAGAAAAATTTTTTTTAAATAAAACTTATCATCTCTATAAATTTATTTTTATTTACAATTATATATTAAATATTTAACCATTTAAGATATAGTTACTATATATTATTTATACACATTTTTTAATTAGAATAGTATTTAAGATTAAAAGTTATAAACTAATCTATATCTAGTTAAGAATAAATATACTTTAATATTTGAAAACTTACATTGTAAAACTCAAGATTAGGTAATCACATAATTTTAAGATTTTATGATGGTTATATATCTAAAGGTCTAAACTTTTAGAAAATAAGATTTTTAAAGTATAACAAAATGTAAAAAAAGTATAAAATTAACTTTTTATTTTTGCTTTTTTCTTTAAAAACTTTTACAAATTTTGCTAAACTTAAAAATGATTATAAAAAAACTATAATTTGTAATTTTACTTTTAAATTAATATTCTACCTTTTATAATTAGAATTAGACCACTTTCTTTAAAGAAAAAAGAGAAATTATATAAAAAAATCACATATTGATTTATCTTTTTGTAATATTACTTGTCTTAAGCTAAAATAAATATAAAACAAATTAAATTATTATAATTATTATTATAATTAAGTTTAAAAATCTATAATTAAAGTTTTGAACAGTTCAGATTAATTCAAAATTTTCAGTTTAGATCGACTTCAGTTCAGTTTTAAATTGTAAAAAATCAATCTGAAAATTTTCAATTTAGTTCAGATTTTTTTCAGATTATAAATCTAATCTAATTAAAAGAAATCTAAATTAAACTGAAAATTTTAAATTTTTTTCAAATAAATGATAAAAAAAATTACTTATTAAAACTAAAAATAATACTGTAATTAGTTATAATTAGTAATAAATAAGCATTACAGAATTGTAACTAGTTGCGACGTTAATAAAAATTAAGTTACAACTAGTTATAACTGATGATAAATAAGCATTATATAGTTATAACTAGTTGTAGTATTATCTTTAGTTAAAATGATAATAATATTATTCTAAATAAATGATAAAAAAATATTTATTTAGAATAATAATAATGTTCTAAATGAACAATAAAAAAATTATTCATTTGAAACAATATTATTATTATTCTAAATAAATAATAAAAAATAATTTATTTAGAATAAATTATCTGAAATTTCAAATTAATTTAAAATTTTAGTTCAATTTAGATTTTTACCAGTTTACAATTCAGTTTAATTTTGGATTAGCATTTTTAAAATTAATAATTTGAATTGAAATTTTCAATTCAGTTTCTGATTATCTTATAATCTAATCTAAACTGAACTACTCAAAATATTATTTATAATATAATCTAATAAATAAGATTATTTTTTGGTTATAAAATTGTTATTTTATTATTATTATTATTTTTAGTATTTACAAATGTCAAAATCTCAAAAAAAATAAGATTTTTAAAATAGCTATTTTTTTTATGAATTAATTACTAAATTTATTAAAAATATGTATTATATAAATTTTATTATCAAATAAAAAATATGTATTAAAAAAGAAAATAGAAGTTTATTTTTTAATTACATTTGTATAAAATTTCGTTTTATATTATAAAGACCATTTTTAAAAAAAAATTTCAAAAATTGATTAAGTATCTTAAACCCCAATTTTTTCAAAATTGTATATTTAATATAACTTTAGATTTTGCTATATCAGATTTCTATTTATAAATTTATTTTATTTATAATTTTATTTTTTATTTTATTTATATATCATTATTATAAAAACTTAAATAAATAATAGAAATTATTATTGAATATTATAATCTGTTAAATATAAAGAATAGTAATAAATAGTATTAAAATAAATTTTCAATTAGTATTTAGTAATATATTATTCATAAAATTAGAAATCTTTGATAGTTACAATTCATGTAATTTTAATAAAAAGTTTATTATATAGAAGGATTTTTTATACAATATAAAGTATATGTATAATTTCAATTTTTTTATATGATAAAATATTTTAGAATTTTAAAATTTAAATTATAATGATAAAAGTATTTATATTTTATTATATAGGTTCTTTTGTAATAGAAAAGAAAGAAACTACCAAAAAAATTTTTTTTTGCTTTATAAGCTAAATATTATTTTTTTTAATAAAATAAGTTCAGATTTAACATTAACTCAAAAAAATTTTTTTGGTAGTTTCCTCTCTTTCTATTGTAAAGAGCCTATATAATTATATAAAAAAATATTTTGATTTTGTTCAGTATCACTATATACTGTATTATACAAATTTAATATTAAATTAAGTTAATTTTTACTTTATAATTTAATTAATTTAAAGAAATAATTTAAACATTATATTTGTATAATACATTGTCTCTTTTTATTACTTATATCATATACATTAAGTAATTTTATTTATAAAATATTTAAATAATTTATTATTAAAAAAAATAAAAAAAGGTTATTATAGATAAAATATATAACATATTATTATAAATACATTTTAATATATAAGAAACAATTAATAGAAAAGGAATTAGCTTAATAACTAAAATTATTTAAAATTTGTAGATTTTCTCCTTTTCTATTGATCATCTTCTATATATTAAAGATTTTTATTTTTATTTTATTATTTTATTATAATTTTAAAATAAAAATTTATATTTATTATTAAACTATTATTTTATTATATTTAATTTAAATTTTATCATTTTTTATTAATTTTATTTTATTAAATAATATTTTTTTTTTTTATAATATTTATAATTTACAAATAAAATTATATTATAAATTATATAATTTAAATTATTTTATTTAGCTTCATTAAAAATAAATAATTTAAATAATTTTAATTAATATAAAATATGTTAATAAATAAAATAATATTATAATATTATCATCGATTTTCTTTTGTCACCCGTGTCACACCCCTTCTTTCTTCATTTTTCATATATATTCTGGGACTTTATAAATTTTTAGTTAAAAAATCTATTCTTCACGTCCTCAGTTAAATATCACATGTTTTAATTTTGGCCGGAATTATATAATTTTGCTTAGAGACAATGCATCGCACGGTGTTATTAATAAATTTACTCTTTTATATTAATGACATAATCACATGATCTTAAATATGGGGGTGCTTAATTACGGATAGATACTGTATAACTATTTATACAAATAAAATGGAACTAAAGCCTAAATATTGAATAAAAAAAAAAAAAAAGCCTTTACTGTAACCGTAAGTGAATCATGGGTCAAGCACTTTCTTCTTCAACGAATAATCCAGATCAAGATGGGGATGTTATAATGGTAGACGATTCGGAGAATAATACTGGTGATGCTAGCGATTTAGATTTTGGTAATAATCATACTGGAGCAACGCACGCTCCAAGGAGACGTACTCAAGCCAGTCGGACTAACTCTCAGGATCGAACACAATTTACAACCTCTTCTACGTTTGAGCATGCACCTCAAAATGGTTCTCCGAGAGTTTTACGAATGACACCGGCACGACGCAGAAGACAGCTCTCTAGTTTGTATCCATTTTTTCCTTCTGCAACAACTACAAATCAAACTCAAATTCCTCTTAGCAGACCCTTAACTCGACTTCAAAGGTTACATCACAATACTATTGAAGATGTTTCACTTGCTCCTAGGCAAACCGATGCAATAGCACCAAACTTGTTGAGACGAAGTCGAACTAGATCTTCGACTTACAATGGGCAAGAAACTTCTACAAGCGTTGGGATAGCTCTTAATGATTCAGAGCCAGCCCATACTTTGCCAACTTCAGAAACAATGTTTGATATTAGTCGTCCTCGTTCAAGTTCGGTTGATGCGATAATTATTGGTGATTTGGATAGTGATTCAACACGGCCAAATATTCGTCTCTCTGATCGCCTACGTCGATCTAACACTCATAGAGGATCTTCAACACGTCCTTATTCTTCGTCTATTTCTTTGTCCAGTACATCATCCTCTAACTCAAGTTCCTCAACAGCTGGTACTCAAACAGATCCTTTGGCTGCTGCTCCCACACAACAACGTTCAAGAAGAAGGGTTACTCGCATTTCAGCACGACGTTTTTTTAATATTGGCGGACAAGAATCTGAAAGCAACAGCAATAATAGTAATCATAATAACAATTACAATTACAATAACAATAACAATAACAATAACAATAACAATAATAATAATAATAACAATAATAATAATAACGAAGATATTGATATAGACAACCAACATTTAGGGCGATTTTTGTCCATTGCAGCAGCTGCTACGGCAGCATCCCTTGTTGCTAGTCAAGAAAATGCCGTAATTGAAGCTGAAAGAGCCGCTAACGAAGGACATGATGGAAGTTTTGAGAGTTTCTTAGCTGCTCTTCAAAGAAGACGTCGTGAGGCTACAAATAGGCCTACTAACCAATCAGCTTCATCATCATCTGAGGAACAAAGTCCCTCCACTGATAACAATACACCTGGTTCACAACCATCGCAACCTATGTCATTCTTCCGCTTGTTTCGCTTTGGTGGATCTCGTTCTTCCTTGACACAGCAAAATATCCCACCTGAAAATAGTACAGATACATCTTCTTCAATACCTAATGCGACAAATGAAACTAATACAAGCAATACAAATAATGTCCCTCATATGGTTCCCGTTATCATTATTGGAATCAGAAGTGTTCAACCAAGAGATGATCCGAACGTTAATTCATCATCTTCACAAAACGTAGATACTAGTCCCACTAATTCTGAACATAGAAATAATTCAAATCGATCATCAAGAACTCGGTCTTCTTCAACTTCAAGTCGTGCTTCCGCTAGATCTACTGCTTCAACTTCTACCCAAACCCCCCCTGCACGTTCGTGGATCATTTATGTTTTAGGAGGCACATATCCTTCTACTCATCCTATCCTTACTACACCATCATTATTTTCTGATAATCCAACTTATGAGGATATGATGTTGTTATCGTCTCTTATCGGACCAGCTCGACCTGCAACTACAACGCAAAGTGAGATAGATGCAAACTTACCAGTTGCAAAATATGATGAAAGAATTCGTGGTGTTAGAGGACATGATCTTTTAGGTAATGCAGAGAAATGTCAAGTATGCTTGTGTGATTATATTACAAATGAGGATGTTAGAGTGCTAATTTGTCGTCATGGTTTCCATCGAGAATGTATTGACAAGGTCAGTTCGTTAAATTTTTGGAGTTTTATGATTTTCATTTTTAGATTTCATTGCACATTATATTTATTACATTCTCAGTCGTTTGCACTTTCTCTCTCTCTCTTTTATTATATATGTATAAATTATTTTTTGTAGTGGCTCACTGAGGGATCTAACAAGTGTCCTATCTGTCGTGGCGTTGGAGTACTGCCCCGTGAATCAGAAACAAATAATAATGGTGCTATCCCTACTACTTCAGCAGGATTGGATTCTATGGGACCTTTCTTTTAAGATTATTACATTCAATAGGATCAGACTCATTTTGATTGTCTTTTACGGACTATTATTAAATATATTGTGATTTATACTTTCTGAACTTTTTTGATAGTAAATCAATTTTTGTTTCATCGAGTTTCTTTTCCTTTGAACTAGGTTTTTTTTTAAAAAAAAAAAAAAAAAAAAAAAAATTTTTTTTGATATTCTATATATGCTTTATTTTTATTGCGCGACATTATATTTTTTGAAGATCATTATATAACAAATCTTAGGCGAACTTGATTGATATACTTGTATTATTTTTTTTCTCATCCATTTACTGTTTTTAACCAATTAGTATTTTATGAATTAACAAATCAAAGAAAATATTAGATATCAAGTTCCTAAGGTTATAAAGTACAAAATTCATCTCATTTTTTTTTTTTTTTTTTTTTTTTTTCCAATTGTTATATATATTACTAAATTATACTTTAAAAAAAAGTTTATATATATATTTTTTTTATAAATTTATTGATGGGCTTTTTTAATCTTATTTTTTTAATTTTTCTGTAAATATGAAGTAATAACATCTATTAAAAAGGGTAAAGGTTCTATTAGTATCGATTTATAGATTTAATTTCATTGTTAAAATAAAAATAATATTAACATAACCTGGTTTTTGTTCTTTAAAGAATAGGTTACGTCCAACTTTTCAACTTTCAACTTTCAATGTTCCTTTCTTTAAAAAATGTAGTAGAGCAATTTAGGAAATGATCGACGTTCAAATGAATTATATTTTCTTTTTTTACGCGTTCTTCATAATTCAAGCTCCCGTTAACAAGATAGCAAAATATACAAATTCTTGAGAAATACAAATAAGTTTGGCCAAGTATATATATATATATTTTTTATGTTTT